GAAAGGGATGAAAAACACTCAAAGATGGCAGACAAGTGTCTTCCTTCTACTTTGTGAGGGTTATAATCCATAAGTGCGGCCGAAGGCCGCCTACGCAAAAGAAGTTTATACACAAAAACCCTGTATACTTTTTTTCCACATTAATTCGATTTTTGTGAAAACTATAAAAAGGTATATGTTAAGAATTAAATTCTCTATCAAAATTGTCCAATTCCTTGAAGAGGTTTTCGAGGAATATTAATTTAAGAAAATGCTTAATTTGAACTTTGACCTTTAATAATTGTTGTAGTTGTTGTTTCCCAAAATAAATAAATATACCGTTATGTTCACCTCAATGGTCTCTATCGATCCTATTTTTTTTTTTTAATTCGAGATTTGTAGGTATTGTGCATTTGTTCCAAAATTTTTTTCTATTCATTGTTTTTTTTCAATTGATCTTAATTTTATTCTTAAAATTGGTGATTTAACTGCGCATTTTTATATCGTTTGACACTTGCCATCTTTCTTCAAATCAAATGTAAAATTTAACCCTCGTTTTAAATTTGAGAATCATTTGAGAAAGAGATTTAATATCAAATTGAGAAATACATTTTTCTCAAACGTTTGCTGGGTATCTTGTCTGGGTAGGTGTGAATCTTTTCTTCACTTACGACATGGCGTAGGTACTTTATTATCTTTCGGAAAAATTCGCATTTTTCGGGGTTGATCCGGAGATTTTCTTGCCTTCGCCGACCAAATACTTCGGTGAGATGTTGAATGTGTTCGTCCAGTGTGGAACTGGTGATGATAATGTCGTACAAGTATGCGAATGTGTGTGGCTCAAGTTCTGGGCCGATTACTCGGTCTAACGCGCGCTGGAACGTGGCTGGTGCGGAATGCAATCCGAACGGCATCACGCGCCACTGGAACAATCCGCGTCCGGGACCGGTGAATGCTGTGTAATTCTTGCTTTCTTCGTCCATAGGGATCTACCAGTAGCCGATTTTCAAATCTAGGCTGCTGATATATAAGCTGAGCTCGCCCCGACGAGCAGGCAGTCATCCGAACAAGATGATGAAAAACAACAAAAAACAAACAAACAACAAAAACAACAACAAAAAAGCACAGTACAACAAACGCAACAAATACTGCGGCAGCACAAACAGCTACCTCGGCGGTAGCAGCAGAAGCAGTAGACACGACGGTCACAGCAGTACCGACAAAAACAGGCTCACTAGCACTGACAGCAAAAACAGGCACTCATAGCAGTACCACGCGCAATGGGAACGACTCCAGGCGCGGCAGCTTCATGGAGCTCCTCACTGAAGAGGAGGCGGCGCTTTTCATCGAGCACGCCAGAGACGATGAGGAGGAACAGGGCACTAGCACCGGTCGCAATTCAGGTCAGAAAGTTGTCTTTCTTCTTTTTCCAGGCACCATAATATAGGGTTACCTGATTGCAGACACCGCCCCGAGAGCAGGCACCCCTCCGTTAGCCGGCACCGGTCTAAGAGCAGGAGCCAATCGAAGGGAAGGCACCATCACGGCAGCAAGCACCGCAAGGGATCGCTGGGAAGGCACCACAGGTCTTCCAGCAGTTCATCGGCCTCTGACGAAGCTAGGTGGCGGACCAAGAAGCAGCGTGTTGACGACCAACAGAGTTGAGTTGCTGTGCAACTTCGTTTCTTGGACCGCGGCTATCAATATGCCATGCGGACCCATAAAGACTACTATCTCCTCAATCTTGCTCTGGAGTCTGTTGCCGTTGAGATGTAGGAGTTTCGTATGCCTTGGGAGGCTAGTCGCGATACGGGGGCAAGGGAGGAGTGAGGTCTACCTTGGGCCTGTTGCATCTGACGTGCTTGCTGTTGCTGCCTGTTGATAGGTGACTGCAATGGGAGCGGTGTTGTCTGCGTCAGCGGTGCTCTACAGCATGGGGCACTGTAGTTCGCAGTCCACTCGCGCGTGGTGCGTAGGCCAGAGCATAGACGGAAGTGACACCTGCCAAGGCATGTGCTGCATTTGACCGATGTCACGTTCCGGTATATTCGGCTCTGGCATACGGAGCAGATGGTGTGTGCAACCAGGAGCTGCTGGTTGGCTCGCACGCGCGAGTTGGACGGGCGGGTTGACTGTGGGAGGGGGTAGTTGGGAGGTTTGCTGCTGCCCAGGGGAGCTTCTAGCAGCCGTGCAGGCTCTTCGAGTGTTGGGTTCATTGCGCGAGAGGGTAGCCGTGGAAGCTGATTGTGCCGTTTGGCTTGAGTAGCAGGGAGCCACATAGCTTGTGGTCCACTCCCGGTGAGACCTAAGACCAGAGCATGTACTTAGGTGACTTCATCCGTTGCATGAGTTGCACCTAACCGAAGTGGAGTTCGGATGGAGTGGATTCTGGCAAACACAACAGAAATATGTTTCTGGTCCGGGGTTGTGCTCAACGCACCGTCGGGTAATATTAACAAAGAAGCAAAAAATATATGCAGTTCAATTCGAGCCGCTGCTCATTCGTCAATTCCACAAACCCATTTGAAATCATACAAAACGGTAGTCCCGTACTGGTCTGCATATCTTGCCTCAATTAGAGATAAAAAACAGCAATTGTGGCATAATTACAAAATACATAGATCCCTTTATAACCTTTTGGCATACAAGAAATCGAACGCCTATTTTAAAAAGAAACTAAAAGAAGCTGTTGTAATGAGTTCAATATAGTTAAAATGACTTTGCCTTTAATTCAATTTAAGGTTTACAAATTTTGGATGAAATAAACTATAATACATATTAAGTAAAAACTGCGTTGAGAAATTATGTCGCCTTCTTCGGTAAACCGCTCCAGCTCAACTTCTCTGT